GAAATAAGAAAGGGATGATCACTTACTGGGACTGTGCTATAGACCTCCCAGTACACTGCCATAGTGTTAATCGGATGGAGAGGAATTTGTGTACAAGAAGATTTTCTTATTCAGTATGTGAATGCACCAACTAAAGAAGGAGCAAAACTTGACCTTCTCTTGGGAAATAAGGCAGGTCAAGTGACTGAGGAGTCAGTGGAGGAGCACTTGGGGCCAGTAATCATAATTCTATTAATTTTAAAATAGTGATGGAAAAGGGTAGACCTGATCGAAAAGTTAAAGTTCTAATTTAAAGTAAGGTCAAAAGTTGATTGGGAGAGGCTATTTGCAGGTAAAGGAACGGTTGGAAAGTAGGAGGCCTTTAAACATGAAATAACAAGAGCCCAGAGACCGTATGTTCCTTTTAGCGGTGTGCTGCAAGGATCAGTGCTGGGACCAATGCTTTTTATCATTTATGCAAATGATTTGGATGTGAATATAGGAGGTATGGTGAGAAAGTTTGCAGGTGACACCAAAATTGGTGGTGTAGTGTGAAGGGCAAGGCTGCTAGGTGTAGGGTGGATGACTAGAAAATTTGAAGGTCTGGTCAAGAAAAAGAAGGAGGCATATGTCAGGGAAAGACAGCTGAGATTGAGTGAATCCCTAAGAGTATAAGGGCAATTGGTGTATACTCAAAAGGGAAATCAGGAGGGCAACAAGGGGACATGAGATATCTTTGGCAAATAGGGTTAAAGAGAATCCAAGGAGAGTCTACAAATACATTAAGGACAAAAGACTAACTAGGGAGAGTGCCAGGGACCCGGGTTCGATTCCAACCTTGGGCGACTGTCTGTGTGGAGTTTGCACATTCTCCCCAAGTCTGCGTGGGTTTCCTCCGGGTGCTCTGGTTTCCTCCCACAGTCCAAAGATGTGCAGGTTAGGGTGGATTGGCCATGCTAAATTACCTGTATTGCTCAGGGATGTGTGGATTAGGTGGGTTACAAAGGGATGAGTCTGGGTGGGATGCTCTGAGGTTCGGTGTGGACTTGTTGGGCCAAAGGGCCTGTTCCACACTGTAGGGATTCTATGATCTATGATCTATATTCAGCAAGGCCACCTATGTGTGGAATTGCAACAGATGGGCTAGATACTTATTGAGTATTTTACATCAGTGTTTACTGTGGAGAAGGATATTGAAGCCAGAGAACTTGGAGAAATAAATAGTGGTATCTTGAAAAGTGTCCATATTACAGAGGAGGAGATGCTGGATATCTTAAAATGTATTGAGGTGGATAAAATCCCGTGACTTGGTTCGGTGTATCCCAGAACTTTGTGGAAAGCTAGGCTCCTTGCTGAGATATTTGTCTCATTGATAGCCACAGGTTGGCTAATGTGGTGCCATTATTTAAGAAAAGTGGTAAGGAAAAGCCAGGGAACTATATATTGGTGAGCCTAAAGTCAGTGGCGCATAAGTTGTTGGAGTGGATTCTAAGAGATAGGATTTACACGTATTTGGAAAGGCAAGGACTGGTTAGAGATGGTTAACATGGCTTTGTGAGTGGGAAATCATGTCTCACTAACTTGGTTGAGTTTTTTGAAGAAGTGACAAGATTGATAAAGGCAGAGCTGTGGACATTGTCTATATGGACTTCAGCAAGGTCTTCGACAAGGTCTGGCATGGCAGACCAATTAGCAAGACTAGATCACATGGAATCCAGGGAGAGCTAGCTTTTTGGATACAAAATTGGCTTGAAGGTAGGAGACCGAGGGTGGTGGCGGAGCATTGCTTTTCGGACTGGAGGCCTGTGACCAGCAGTGCGCCACAAGGATTGGTGCTGGGGTCACTGCTTTTTGTCATTTATGTAAATGATGTGTATATATGAGGTATGGTTAGAAAGTTTGCAGATGACACCAAAATTGGTAGTGTAGTGGAATGTGAAGAAGGTTAACTCAGAGTACAATGGGACCTTTATCAGATGAGCCAATTGGCCAAGGGGATTAATTAGATAAATGTAAGGTATTGCATTTTGGTAAGGTGAATCAATGCACTATACACTTAATAGTAGGGTTCTGGGGACTTTCCAAACAAAGAGACTTTGGGGTACATGTTCATAGTTCCTTGAAGGTAGAGTTGCAGGTAAACAGGGTAGTGAAGAAGGCTTTTGGTATGCTTGCCATTATTGGTCAGTGCATTGTGTATAGGAATTGGGAGGTCATGTTATGGCTCTACAGGACATTGGTTAGGCTACTTTTGGAGTACTGCGTTCAATTCTGGTCTCCCTGCTATAAGAAGGATGTTGTTAAACTTGAAAGGGTTCAGAAAAGATTTATAATGATGTTGCTAGGTGTGGAGGGTTTGAGCTATAGGGAGAGGCTGAAAGGGCTGGGGCTATTTTCCCTGGAGTGTCAGAGGTTGAGAAGTGACCTTATAGAGGTTTATAAAATCATGAGGGGCATGGATAGGGTGAATACTCAAGGTCTTTTTCCCATGGTAGGGGAGTCCAAAACTTGACGACATGGATTTAAGGTGAGAGGGGAAAGATTTAAAAGGGACCTAAGGGGCAACTTCATCATGCAGAGGATGGTGCGTGTATGGAATGAGCTCCAGAGGAGGTAATTGAGGGTGGTGCAATTGCAACATTTGAAAGGCATCTGGATGGGGACATGAACAGAAAAGATTTAGAGGGATATGGATTCAAATGCTGGCAAATGGGACTAGATTAATTTAGGATATCCGGTTGGCATGGACGAGTTGGACCGAAGAATCTATTTCCATACTGTACATCTCTGTGACTTTATAACTAAATTGGGGGCTCTTGTTGGGAACAAAATCTCTAATTCCAGATTGTGTTTAGGATTGTTGGACTCAAAGACAGTGAGTGGTGAGTGTTGTTGCTCTCTTTTCGGGTGTTGAATTTGGTTGGTTAAAATACAGTGTGCCTTCTTAGTAATGGCTCTTTCAGTCACTAAGAGTTTCCTGGGTTGGAAGAAGTCACTTTGGGAACTTTACAGAAAGTGAGCAAGGCAAATCTTTTGGAAGTGGCAGACAAGCTGGAGTTGTGGTTGCTTTTGTCCACACGAAAGGGGGAAGTAATCGCAGCATTTGTACTTGGAAATATCACCATTTCTTCTTCATTGCTGATTGAAAATCATGGAACTTTCTACTGAACGGAACCATGCAGACTACAATGGATCAAGATAATGGCTCACCAACACTGTCTGAAGAGCATTTAAGGATGGACAATAAATGCTGACATTACCAATAAGGGAGAAGATTAAGCAATTGAATCTGTTATAGAGATAGTAGGAACTGCCGATGGTGGAGAATCTGAGATAACAAGGTGTAGAGCTGGATGAACACAGCAGGCCAAGCAGCATCAGAGG